AGTGCCGTCGTCGTTTCTCACCTTACGCCCAGCTGCCTAAATCCGTCAGAATTTACCAACAGTAGAATCATTCAGAAGATTAATCGTCAGTTTCGAGGTGTATCAAACGAAATTCAATGATGTGATCGCCCGAGATGTGATCAAATGTCATTGCATGATTTGCTCATTGGGTTAATCTAGTCAGCAGGCATCAACAATGCCTTTGGGGACCACATTTGTGGAGCAAAGATTCACGTACCGCTACAGGATTCTTTGCAGCTGGGAATGGATCACGGTATTTCAGATCCAGCCAGGTATCGTCGTATATTCTGATATTCGGTGGTGCTTTAACATTGCGGAATAGCGCTAACAATTCCTTAAGAACACTAATTGTCATCTTCAAACCATCCGTAATGCTATGAAAATTTTTGTGATAAGCATCTTGAAGATACATTTGACATGCCTGTCGCCAAATTGAGGTTATTAAGCGGTAAAACTCACTGAATTGTGATTACTTTTGAGTTTCCACTGAAGATGGATCAAATAAGCTAAAACAGTGCATGTAATAGATCATTTCACCCCCCTCAAAACGATTTTGTTAGCATCTTCGATTTTTTTTAGCATTTCTCCTATTCAAGTTTCCACACTAGAGTACTGACCTGGATATCACCTCCAGCAAGCTTCTCACTCTTACCATTATAACCAACAGCTGCCTCTTCAGTGCCCATATCGATATAGCCAAGCAGATCTTTGNATCTTTGCCGTCTTTTGTCTTCATTAAGACTGGCGTTGACTGGCCACATCGTACCAGTTGCAGTAGTGTATCATTAACACGATCTTTGTACGGTCTCCATTCATACCAGAAACCGGATTTCTTGAATAGGTCTACAGGATCTTGCTCAACTGCGGTCAGGATTTGAATTTGTCCACCCAAGTCACGAGCACCGGTCAGCTCGACCTGAATTTGAGTGGTTATGACTGCAGGATAATCATCCTTGATATTACAGCATCTGTTTGGTGATTAGCACCCGATCTGGTTCTGGACTGGTCAGCAGCTACATTTCTATCTTGGATGCGTTACTTTAATGCCATTGATCTTGCCTTTCTAAACTGTGCTGTCACATTTTTTCTGCTTCATCTGCCCACCTCCTCCCGCCATTAATCTTCCTATTGGTCATTTTGCTTCAGTGGTCACAACATGTGGAAAAACGTAGAATCGAAGACATTCGTCAGTCTCCTGAATCAACGAGAACCAACCGGCTGAATCAATCTGTGTAGCTGTTCTCAGACCTGTTAAAATGTTTTTGTGAATTGTCCCCTAGATTACCAACCCGAAAGTGTTCATATCAGAAAAAACAAGGCATGAACCTTGTTGTAGGGAAACGAGCATTCCACGTTTCCGTTGTTGTTCCATGCACGTCCGTGAATTGGCTTCCCGAATTTATACCATAACGCTACGTACATATTCTGTTGTCCCTTCACCCTAACCGGATTGTCCGGAAACGGCGACCCGATCGTGTTATACGCCCACGTATCTTCGAACTCCTTGGCCATCCCGAAACCTGCGCCCAACGATGAAGTTGAAATCAAAATGACTCATGGAGCAAACTTCTAGCTTTTATAGCTGAAATTATGCGTTGAAATTTCACATATTCCAATTTTTGGACAGCCTCCGAACTTGAAAGCTACATATTTTATGGCTAAATTTGTCATCGAATCATTCTTCTAGTCGTAGACGAGATCCGACATTTGCATAAATGATTACTCAACAACTCCATGGTTACTAAATGAATAATCGAGTATCGTTAGCATTTTATGAGTATCAAGGATGTCAACGGTGAACGAATAATGTATTTAATATGGTGTTGACTGTCCCCAAATTTCAGCGGTTTTACAAATTAATCGTATCGAATATTCACATAATTTCATACCAACGGAATCCAACGCAGTCCACACACAAGACTTCATTCAATTCGCTGAATACTTTGTGAGATATTTCAGAACGAAACAATTCAGTTGATAGCGATATTATTTTATTCAGCGAATGAGCATTCTTCAAATACAGTCAACGAACGGTATATGCGAGGAAAGAGGCGCGACAAGAGATCAATTGTAGATATTGAATTCAGATTTTGCATTCGGAAGTTATCAAAAGGCGTTTCAGAAATCCTTAAACAGAAAAAATCCGGGAAGGATAGCCCCACCAATGCTGGTGAGATATGCGACTCGACCGAAAAGCTCGAGAAATTTATAACGTAATAGGGCACTGACAAGAATCGATCAAAGTTCGAATATGATTCGCATATATCCCTAAATGACGATATTTATTTGGATGCGCAACACTGAATAAATGAAATACGTCAACTAAATTTTACTGAAGAAACACTTCAATCAGCTCAAATCATGAATATAATGGCAAAAAATGGTTAATACTGTTTGGATGCATACTTCTCACATGAAAAACTGTTGGTAACAGTCTCATTTATTCAGAACGCGATCGATCATTTAGTGATAATTGCTGCACATTTCTCCATTTACGCTTGTTGAAGGTTTATTATGAAATAGATATTCAGCTTGTTAGTGTTATTTATCACAATTGCATTGATTTATATTATGGTTGAATATTAGCGATAAATACTGAACATTAATATCAATATTGGTGATTACGCGTTAGTGATAATGAGGAACTCATTTATTTGTTGTGATTTCTGCACAACACAAGGAACTCATTGACTGCAGGACCACTGACGGCACTGTCTTTGCCACCGAATCCTGCAGTTGCTTTCTCCATTCCCACGTGCAAGTTTCCGAGTCGCTCCGTACCTTTGCTGTCCTTCAGCAAGCAAGGTACGCATTCACCAACATGTAATGGCTTGAATTCACCAGCTCCACCCCTGACATCTTTGTACGGTAACCATTTGTATTCGAATCCAAGCTGAAAATCGACCACAATTCATCATTATATGATTCACATGGATAACTGCTATGTGTAACATTTTAGACCTTACTTTAATCGCAGAACATTCACAACACTGAAAGCGTCACGTATTGACGAGAGCCAATCTTGTGAACCAAGCTATGCAGCTTCAACCACCGTTTTTACGGAGTTTTGAAATATTTCTCCTTCGCTATCAATTCAAGCGTGTCTCATAGCATCCGATGAAGTTACATCAAAGTATAATGGAGGCCGAAGTATAAT